GGTGGCGTCTGCACAGACAGCAGTTACGTTAGAACGCTCGTCAGAGCCGCAGCATTTGCGCGGAATCACACAGCGGCTGAGAGATCACAGCGTAACACGAATAGTTACGTTAGAACGCTCGTCAGAGCCGCAGCGTTTGCGCGGAATCACACAGCGGCTGAGAGATCACAGCGTAACACGAATAGTTACGTTAGAACGCTCGTCAGAGCCGCAGCGTTTGCACACAGCGGCTGAGAGATCACAGCGTGCACGTGTAGTTACGGAAGTGCAAGAATAATCGCGCTGCAGAAGTAACACTGTAGCGAGAGTAGACATACTGCGACAGTGATGGCCAGTGTTAAACTTCAACAGCCACCATAGTAATGCAGGAGTTGCCACACTGTAACGTCAGCGATTGTTCCTTCACTGAATTTCTCTATAATTTCCTGAACTACAGAGTGATAGATTTGCCCTAGTATGCCCGTAAAGATTGAATTATTCAGAGTGAGTGGAAAATCAATATTCCAGCTCTGCTGTATCCTCGCAGGTACAGCTGATAACAACAATCCAGATGCAGACCTAATGCAATTAGTGAGTGAGCAGACAGACACGGGGGTGGCGGGAGAAAAGTTTGCAGCCATAATAAGCCATGACAACTAACATGCACTAAGAAACCTAGCCTCTCATGATACATCGTTAGAACGTGTAGAAATCAAATGACACTCAAACGTAAAACAGCTGTCTTATTAAGCAAGTGTAATGTCAAGAAAAACTCAACATTGCAATAGCTAATTAGGAGTCATATGCATATACGTCGGCTCATTAATTGGCAAGTAGACAAGCTCGGTAATTTAATAGCTTGGCAATTCGATAATTAGTCTGTTAGCGAAGATGCTCATTAGCGACGATGCTCATTAGTGACGATGTTCGTTAGCGAATAAATTGTTAGTGAACACACCTGTGGTTTTGCAACACCCACCTGTACCTGCTTGGCCAGGTAATCGGCTGGCAGTTCCCCGTCCTTGCTAGACGTGCTGCTGCAACTGCTGCCACCTCTGAAGAAGAGAAAACAAAGCGCGAGTTAACTGCAACACAAAATTAAAACAATATAAAAATGGTAGCGAAAAAAAACGGCAGCAATCAAGATACTGGAGTGATCTTCACCCCCCACCCTAACTAGCAAAAACAAGAAATGAATGCTCACTTGCCCCCCCCCACAGATTCCCCGGTTTGCAGATCCCCCCCCACATCACACTACGAAAGCAAGAACGAATGCTACATTGCTCAGCTTCTTCGTAGCAAGGATTCGCAGACGCCCTCCCCCCCACATCATTAACTGACAAGGCAAAATGAATGCACTTGATTCAGCTTTCGTAGCAGGATTCCTGAGACGCGCACATCATTCGCTGATGCCTGAACTTGGGTATGTCTGCACGGACGCGCGAAACACTGCTGCAAGAAGATCTTAGTCCACAAGCGCGGGCAGTGGTGCTGTAGAGGCAACCGACCCTCGCTGCTGTCACACCCGTCACACCGGGCAACGACACCTGTCACTCGCCGTCGGTTGCAAACAACACTCCGCGGTCGCGCAGGCAAACGACACTGCACATCGCTGTGTTCAAACCGACACTCGCATCGCCAGCGGGCACCATAACGCTCGCGTTGCCGCCAGGCAAGACCCACGCAATCGCCACGGTGGCAACGACACCGATCGCGCGGGCAAACGACACTCGGCGCCGCAGCCAACGACACTTCGCGTCGCGCAGCAAGACACTCGCGCGCCGGCAGGCAATATCACGTCGCGTCGCCGGCAGCAAGACACTCTGCGTCGCCGCGGGCACGGACACGTTGCGTCATGCGCAGGCAATGACACTCGCATCAGGCGCGGGCAACGACACTTACGCGAGTCGCCGCGGCAACGACGCTCGCGGTCACGATCCGTGGGCGAACAACCTCTGCTGTCCGCGTGGGCAACATCAAACGCTCATGCGCGCGGGTGATCAATGACACGTCTCGGTCACCGCGGGAGCAGACGACACTCGCTGTCGCCGCGGGCAACACACTCACGTTACAACCGCCGGGCAACGCATCTGCGGTGTCCCTGCCGCTTTATGACACTCGCCGGTTGGCCAAGGCAACGGACACTCTTCAAATCGCCAGCAGGCATGTACAACTCGCATCGCCGCGGCGACGACGCTGCGCGATCGTCCGCCGCGGAGCAACAACACTGCGTCACAGTAATACAAACACCGCGGCCAACGGCACTCGCGCTGCAGCGTGGCAACTTACACTCACGTTACACTTGCGGGCAAAGCGCCACTCGTGTCACTGCCAGCAATGACACTCGCGTCGCCGCGGGCAAGCGACACTTGCTCCCGCGCAGCAACGATAGTCGCCGTCACGAAACGCGGGCAAACGACACTCGTGTCACTGTCCGCTAAGTGACACTCAGCTGTCGCCGCGAGGCACGACACTGCATCACCATAGCGGGCCAACGGACACTCGGCGTCACACGCGGGCAACGACACTCGCTGTCGCTGCAGCAACTGACACTCGCAGCACAGACCGCGAGCAAACGACACTCGGCATCGCCGCGGCAACCGACTACTGCATCGCCGCGGCAACGACAACTCGCGTACACACCGCCGCAATGACACTGCGCATCGCCGCAGGCAACTGACATGTCGCTGTCGCGTGGGCATAAGACAACTTGGTCGACTGCGGGCAAGACAACTCGCGTCCACAGCCACCCGCGGCAACGACACCGTGTCACCCCCGCGGCAACGACACTTACGCGCAGTGCAGGCACCACAACAACTCGCATACCGGGCAACGACAATCGCGTCGGACCGGTGGCAGCCGACACTGCGCTATCGCCCGGCGGCGAATGACACCTGCGGTCAGCGCAGGCAAACGACACGCATCGCCGTGGGCAATGACAAACTCCGCATCGCCGCAAGCAACGACGCCGTCATGCCACACCGAGGCAACGACACATTGCGTCGCCATAGCGGGCCAAAGACAACTCGCGTCACAGATAGGATACCGCAAGCAACGACACCCATCGCCGGCGGCTAATGACACTCGCGCGGGTCGCCGGCGGGCAATCGCACTCGCATCGCGCCGCGGCTTAACACACTCGCGCGTCACGCAAGGCAACGACACTAGCGCATCGCCTGTGGGCAATCACTCGCGTCGCCGCATGACACTGCGCGTCGCACTATGTTTCAGGGGGGTAGTGCGCTAAAACCTCCAGAAATTACCCGGGGACGGAAGATTCGATTTGTGCAGAAATGTATCCCTGCGTGCCGAGCGACTCCTGACGTTTATGTCTATGGCAGAGGCGTGACGAGGGGTCACAGTGATAGCACCAATTTAAGTGATGTGTGTTGATGCGAATCGCACGTCTTTCATCTTAGGTTACACAAGTAATGATTTAAGCGCCGCAAAATATCGGCATACTTACGCCACTGCTTGTTGGCTAGAAAATAGCTACGTTGATAGTATCTGATGAAGTGCCAAACAAAGTGCCTCAAGGTTTAAGAGCGTCAAGCTAATGTCACAGTCACGTTTCGCCATATCGTGTCAAGCGTCTTACGACCTTTCTCTGAACAAGCATGGTGAAGGTGACGCACACCGGTGACCAGATGGCAGCACTCGTCCATGCAGTCCCACTCCGGCTGCCTCATCCGCTCAACATCGTGCTCACTCTCCTATTAAAAAGCATCGATATCATTCAGATCACATGAAAGTGTCAGCGATCACTCTTGCGTAACCAGACTTGCGTCAACGAGTTGCTCTTCCTCGAAATTTAGTTATACGAGTGTCACTTCATGTACATACCTGCATGTAGAAAATAATGAAATTATGTTAATGGTTTAATCGCAGTCAGAAAATCATTTTTCTTTAAAAATAATTAAATTGATAAGTTTGTTGTTATCTAATTAATTAATTAAATTATTAATTAATTAATTAATTTATTAGTGTAAACGAATAATACGCCAGCTCTACACCTGTAGTAACACAAAACGTCAACTAACAGACGTGGTTACATGTATCATAATCTGCTGTTACACTACTTTAAACTGTAAGTTTTCACTAAAATCAAAGTGGGACCGATTTCTTACCGTGTCTTACCATTCTAATAAGTAATCTTTTCAGAAACAGTAATAAGATTCAAGATAAACGAGTTGTAGAGCAACAATTAATGATATGCTCAGGTACAAGTACAAGACAACCGAAAATACACACATTTGGTTCCAATCAACTGTTGCGAACTACACTGAGTGAATGACTCATGCACGCATATGATGGGATATGCCACGAACCTCGTAAAGGGATTTGGGTATTCTCTCTAATGGACAAAGCATTGTACATATAAGGGCCTACGCTCAGTTCAGCATGTTTAATATTATAATATAGATAAATATTTTATATAGTTGTTTATCACTAAAATATCAATCTTATCTGGTAATATAACGATCCCAAAATTTAGCATAAATATCAGACCATCTAACAGTGAAATAGTTTATTTATCCCCCTATCATGCACGTCTTCATGATATTAACAAAATTTACAAAATAAAGTGATCAACTACTGAATAATATAATATAATACATATAAATTTAGATGTTAATTAGTTGTTATCGAAAATATCTAGTTATGCAATCCTATCTGTAAATAATTGATGCCAACAAATTTGGATAAACTAGTCGACCCGCGCAATAAGCGCATGGGCTTCAGTGACTTGTAAATGCATGTGTTATCCAGTATGTTATTGTAAAGTGTTATATGGAGAGTTTAGTTTTTGCAACATGTTTGTTTTTTAAAGTTGAGATCACAGGGCACTTGGAACATCTCAATACAAAAATTAATGGTAAAATAAACACGAGAATTACCAAAATTATTTCCTCTATAATCACCTCAAATGCCAGTGGAAGATGCCTCAATCTGCAAACAGCACGCGAAGTATACAT